CTCAACCTGAGCCGGAAGGTCGTGCACGCTCCCGAAATGCCCATGATCGAGACGAACTTGGATGTTCTTTTCCCGAACAAAAGCCTTTGCCCGCCCTTGAGCGAGCTGTACTTGAAGGAGACCAAGGCATTCTACGCCAGCAAGATACATTTCTTCAATGGCAAGAATTGGCAGATCCGAACATTACTTGCGAATGGGAAGCACTACACCGTGCCGGTAGTAGTAAATACAGGTGGCATCGCTTACAACCGACCCATTTTCTCCGACTTTGTCCAGATGCACTTTCTGCCGAACTACCAGAGGAGCATGTGGCACGGACACACCAAAAGACACGTGCAGTTCCCCACGCCTCTCGGTGATGGCATGAGCATCGATCAAGTATGGCCTGGAGGTGAAGGCAACACTTTTGGCACCGAGGACTGGATACAAAGCTCAGAAACGCACTTGGGCACTGGTAGGTAGATTGTGTTGCTTGGGGTTGGGCTTGTGTTGGTTTGTCTGGTGGTCGTATCCCGTCATGTTAGGAGGAGCTTCGAAAGCCAAGCAGCATCGCCTTCAACTTGGTGGGACATGAACTTGCAGGCATTATTGTCGAGTGCAACGGCCTTGTATGCGATCTCGAAGACATGGCTGAAGAAGGAGAGGCTCTAGAGTACATCCAAACGTATCGTCGGAAGACGATTCAGGCCAAGGCAAAGCGCTTCGCCAAACTGGGCGCGACAGTGGAAACCATCGAGCGCGAGATCAGTGCGACGAGTGCCGACCCAATGACGACGTGGGATGAAGCGTCCCTTCCTGTCCCAGATGAGCTCTGGGTCAAGTAGAAGCCGTCTGACACCATGAACAGGCCACACAGGGCACGGTGTCCGAAGCAAAAACCACCCAGAAAGCAAAAAGCAGGTTGAGCTGAAGCAGTGCTCCGAACACTCAAAGCCCCTTAACACCCTGGGTTCGTTGCCGACAGGCTCTCGGACGCGAAGCCCGAGCATTGCACACAGCTGCCATCGTGGCGCAGGCCTCTGGTCGACCCGGCTTATCGCTGGTAGACTTTGATTAGAATCCATGCGATTTAGGAGTCCGGGATGTGACATCTGTGTTTCGGGAGCCAAGCGGGTTCATGATGTTCGGGGTTTGAGAAGTTAGAGGCTAGTGTCCCACTTGGCATGTTCCCGATGTTTCTCCCGGAGGCTGGATGCAGGAGCAGGACTCTTGAAGTGAAGCGTTCATCCTAAACACTGAACCGTAAATTCATGAATTTGGTGCTCCTGCCGCATCCCCTTCCAAAGAGTCGCTGACCAGCCCGATCACCACCGTGGAATTGCACCTGAACCCTTGCATGCTAAACCCGAAACCCATAGACCAGTACACATCCTTATGCACATGATCCTACCTTGAATGGAAGCCTACCTTCGGGCTCTGTTGGGCACAAGTATTCTGAAGACCTTCCGTATTCGAGAGCTCCCCAAATCATTGTTTTCAAAACGACCGGTATCTGTTGCCTAAGCAGGTAGAGTCTCGAAAGACTTCGCTGTTTCGTGCACAGGCTATGGCTGTGGAATACTGCGCCGACGATGACGATGAGCTCGACACCCCAGAGGGCCCCGATGAAGCCGCGAAGGCCACAAGCACTGCTTGGAGGGTCGGGGGACTTAGTAAGTGGGTAGTAAGTAGACTTATAAGCACCCTAATAGGGATCCTAATTGGGGTTATGATACTTATATCTCATATGGAATCTACTTACTAAGTCCCCCGACCCTCCAGGCGGATGGGCCATGAAACGTAAGTCCCAGGCCCCTGCGGATCCTCAAGTTTTGCGGAGGTACTGGCACTGCACATCTGTTCGATCTTCTGTTTATGGGACAGGGGCGGGTAGGGTGGGGTTTCAGTCCTTGGAGCAAGGGGACAAAGTGGTTTCTTGCCCACAGACTGCGTTTCAACGCCTCTTCTTGCCAGCCTTCCTCATACCGATTGCAACCATACCCCGCGATTTTCTAAGGTAATGGGGGGGCTCGTGCCCTTTGACTGCATACCTAAATTGGCCGTGCAGTCTTCAAACAAACACTCCCTACCCACATGATTAGGGGGCTTAGCCCACTTTACAACTACCCATGAACCTCCAAGTAGTGTATTTATACTTGCCCCTCCATATCTTCGTCACGGTCTTGCTCTCAGGAGACGGCGCGCGTCGCCGCTGCAGGATTGGCACCGGCCCTTCGTCCTCAGCGACATTCTCAACAGCACGTTGAAATCACGGTTGTGGAGTGGTTAATATATGGGTGGTTCTCTAAATTAGGGTCCCTTTCAGGGTACTTTTGATAAGGATGCCGTACTATATTTGGGACCGAACAAGGGGCCCCAATTTAGAAAACTACCCATATCCGGGCATGCACAACTAGTACTTCTATGTAATATGTCCAGAGTATAGAACCTTCCCATGGTCGTCTAACAGTTCAGGCTTCTCTAGGTGGCAATTTGGGAAACTTGAAAATTTCCCTTATGGTTTCTACAGAGGTACTTATTCATAAATACCTTGCCCCAAGGTACCTATTCAAAAACGCTTTTCAGGGCCCCAAAACTACAACCCAGTTCTGCAGTAGGGCTTCCAGCCGCAGCTGCCACGGCTCATCCGAGCCTCTGGCTCCTCTCAAGGTGGAATGCAGTAGGCCTTTGGTACATTTTCTGTTTTTCCCTTGTCGGGCTGAAGAGGGTTTGCGAAGAAGATTCAGAGGAATTGAGCGGCCAACCTAGACAAGAACAACGAGAAATTCGGCAAAATCATGTCTGAACGGGGACGGATCTAGGGTTTAGGGTGTAGGTTGCAACAGAAGGGCCATGAATTTGGGGTGTGGTACCTGAATATAAGTATAGGACAAATTACCCCAACCTTGTTCTAACAAGGCCTCTACAGTACTGAACCAATTCACCCTAAACCCCTAAAACCTAAACCCCAAACCCTACACCCTAAACCCTAAACTCTAAAAGAAACATTTCCTCGATGGCCATCTGAACCGACGCTCGCTTTGACTCAGGACCACCCTCTGGCGATGTTGGTTCGGCAGTGCCTGGAAGCAATGAGCTTTAGGGTTTAGGTTTTAGGCCGCCCCCCAAACAAAAACTTGAATCCTAATCTTGAAGGCTTTAGAGGCAGGAAGCTAGAACAAACTAACGCACTAGGCGTCTTTTCCGCGGTGAGGCTGAGGGTTTCGTTGGCTCAGGGCTTCTAAGAGCTCTGAAGTTTTTACCCGTATTGAAAAAGCGCGCGCTAACATCGCCATCATGGCCCCGAAACCCTAAACCCTCTGGCCACAGTATTGTCAAGGCTGTGTGCCCCAATCAGCATCCCGAGAGCTCTGCGCTCTAAGCACCGACCCGCAAGCCCCAAACGTCCAAAGCCCACGACGTGTTCTAGGGGTCGGAATCGTAAGAATAGTCCCGTATAGTCTCCAAGATAAGGTGATCATTGATGGTAAGTATTCCAAAGCCCTAATTATTTTTAATCTCATCGTTGAGACCCCTATAGTACGTAAGGCACACAAGGTTTTACGCAAGATCCATGGACCCCGGCCGCAACAGCGATAGGATTGAAGCTGTCGACACAACAGCCGGCCTGCAGACAGAATCCTCGTTGGTGCAAGCTGTGAGGTTGAACTCCTCGGACGGTATGATATTCCATACAAATCACTCCGATCTTTTTGTATAAATAGATGCACGTTGCACTATGTCGCTCCCGAGTCCTTATTGAAACCAAGGATTGTGTGCAGCCTTTCCTTAAACGCAAGGCAATCTCCTGCTGCACGAAGAAGCCCGTGCAGAAAACGCACCCCAGAAAGTATAGCCCCTGCGGACCCAAACCTAGACCCTAAACCCTCACCAAACCACAGCTAGACCTCAAAGCTGCAATAAATGCAAAAGGAATTTGGGAACTGCGCCGCGGGTGATGGGCGGCCGTCGGCAGTCCAATCTGGGTACGTCAGTGAAACTTGGTTTTGGTGGCGGGGCTTTTCAGGGGATTCAGATTGTTGAGCTTAAGGTTTCTAGGGTTTAGGGTTTAGGGTTTCAAGTTCCCCAGAGAGTCCCAAAACACCTGAATTAAGCCACATACCTTGAACTATAAGGGGCTTCATGTTATGATCTGAGGTATATTCCTCCATTAAAGGGGTATATTGGGCTCTCTGGGTCTGAATAATAAACCCTATACTCCCCCTAAACTAGAAACCCCTTATAAAAGCCCGAAAATCCCAAGCCTCCACAGGCCTTAGGAGTTGTGCTGTCGGCCCTGTACTTCATTGCCCAACACCCGACCCAGGGTTTGACATTGCTTGGCTTGACAAAGCGCGCTATGCCATTATGCAGATGAGGGGTGTTCTAGGTCTTCAGGAGGTTTTCAGTTCTCCCAGAACCTTTGCGACGCTGCTGTCTCTGATAACTTTGGAAATCTACTTGCAGCACAGTGGTGTTGAATGCCGTGCCCACGAAGGACATGGCAAGCGCACGTTTTTTGTGTCAGGTCCTCCACCGCACTCCGCGGCAAAATCTTGTGGGAATTGCCTCCCCTTCACATCTTTCCTGAGCCCCACGCCGAAAACCGCCGCCACGAAACACGGATTGTCTCAGACCAAACCCGAGTCCATGCTCTGAAAATCCAGCCCAGTTGTGGCAGTAAGCCAGGCCCTACATCTTCAGACCGGAACCAAAGCCCTAAACAGTAGATCCTGATAGATGATTTATGGTCCTTTCTTCTACGCTGGGAGCGTGAGAGTCGAATCCCTAAACCCTAAACCCTAAACCGTGTCGAAGCCCTGATAAACAGAATAAGCTCAGGAGGAAGCGGGTTTCCAACATTCCTTTGCAGCCTCTGGCGCCCCAGCGGCCGAGCTCTGCAGGCCTTTGAAACCGAAGCTCCGGTTATGGCCTTCGGGGGTTTGGTTTGTAGCTGAAGCCGACGGCCTGTCTGAAGTGCTGTTATGAGGAAGAGCGCCGAATGTGATGGTCATGATGATGTACATGTTAGTACGAAACACTAAGTTTTTATTTGCGTGACTATGCTTTCGTCCATGTGATCGTTACGTTTCTCCTTGTCGCGGCTGGGGCCATGTGTGTTCCTGCTTGGAACTTGGACTATCTGGGCGACTTGTTTGTAACATTCACTTCGCAGTGACTCTGGGATCCTGCGAGTATACTGCCATGAAAGGTTCATGTTCGGTGTGTGTTCGATGACGTGATCACGAGGTGTACCAGGCCTCATTTGTGCGAGCTGTGTGGTCTTTGACTTCTAAACCAACGCTCAACACCGCAAAGACAAGTCTTATGCTTCAAACCCAGCTGAACCAGCCAAGGTTTCCGGCCCTACATCCTGTACTCAAGGCCCTAGACTCTTACCCCTCCGCCCAGAAACCTACCCAAAGCCTATACCTAGCCAGAATACTCACCCCTAAATCTTATACCTAAGTTGGATTGTGTACATCCCAAACCATCCGGTTCTGCCAGGTTTGCACAAAGAAGGGACCGAACCTACTGCCGACATGCTCCAAGAAACGCCTCATCAGGCCAAGTTGCTAAGTTCAGTTTTTGAGGGTTCAGGGGAGACATAGGAGGTCCCATGTGGAACCGGAGTACTTGGTTTTGTTGTTGCAGGGATGTGACGGAACTAAAGCAGCACTTTACCAGCATGGTGTTACGTATCTCCCTAAGCCCTGGTAGTTTTAAACCCGGTTTTGCCTTCGAGCTTGTGCGTACCATCGTAAGGATTGTTGAGGGTTTTGAAGGCTTCATGGGCTTTAAGGGGTGTGCTAATATGGGTTAGCCATATTTGCTCGATGGTCCT